AACCAAATTGTATTTTTACTAACTAAAAAGAGAAACATTCTATTTCTAAGGATTTATGAGGGATAGAAAATGACACAAAAATGTGTCAGAGCTTCTAAAACTGTTTTTTCCCCACTCTATTCAGTTTTTTCTATTTTCTATTAGTTTTTCTATTCAGATTTTGTGATCACTAGATCTAGAAGCCAATCCACACGATATTTTTCTACCAATTCACATATTCCTCAGTCTTAACACAAATTTAGCAATTTTACAACATGTTGTTATATAAATGCTGGGTCTCTTGGTTGGACTTGAGAATAATGTTAGCTCCAAGGCACATGGTACATGAGTGAAAACAGACATGAGAAATGGTACTTGTCCATATGAAGCAAGCTTATATATAGCATTGCAAAAATAAACACAATGGAAGAGCATTTGTCTGACACCATCACTGTCTTAAGAGAATTAGTTGTGGATGAGACTTTTAGGTAGCCTGCCTCTGTGTAAATCTCTGGAGATCAATGGCACATTTGTAATCCTTTTGTTCAAGTGGTGCTCCATTTCAGTATCTTGAGCATTACAATTTGCTATTATTTAGAATCTCTGGATATAATATATAATCTATAATATATATGATAAAAATAAAGTACCTAAATACTGCGGGACACTTTTCAGCAAGTTCTTTATACTTAAAAGTAATAAAAATACTTTGAAGGTTAAATAATTTGTCATACAAAAAGTACTTTGAAAAGTACTTTCACAAAGCAGTAGCGAGTGAAGATATATCTCAAATAAGCTTCCAGAAAATCTCTTATACTTAAAATATGGTTATCCTTTCATATTTCTATCATTTCATTTTATTTCTAGAAATAGCAAAGCTATCATCTCCAATTGTTGTTGAAGTAAAGAGAAAAAGTCTTCCAGATGCAGCAGTGATCACAGGTGTCTTATCTATAGCTTTTATTTTCTTGTCATGTTGCGATACCCTTGAAAAAAGACTCAAACTGTAAAATATTTAAGTCTGCTCTTGAACAGCCTATGAAAAGTATAACTTCATTATAAAATCAAAGCATAAAAGGAAATATTTTGTATGAAATTAATATAATAGTGATTTTTAAAATGGAGATCTTAATTGTTTTCCTAGATTCTCAGAATTTCTATAGAACTGTAGGAGCTGTGGGTGTTTTTGAATAGAAAATAGTGATGAGATCAAATTTTAAGCCTGCACTTCTGCTCTCCTTTGTATAAATACTGATGCCCATCTTTTCCAGCACCCCTCCCTCCACCCCAGCTTCACCCTTGCAGCTGCCTCACTGGTTTGATCCTCATGAGTCAGTGGAGTTGTGAAAGGGCTAATCTTTGACCCATGCTGTCTTTACCTCAGCTAGGTGAGTAAACACCAACATATTAAGTATGCTGTTCCTTCACATTTATCCTTTTTTCATTATTTGAATTTGAACAAACTACTGAAATTATTTGTGCAGTTCAGAATGATTTTTAGACAGCAATACCAAGAAATGGCAGGGTTGTAGAGTGAAAACATTACAATGTGCAGGAAGCAATCTGGTTTCTGTCAGTTTTCCTTATCAAATGCAGTGTTTTTCAATTGCAAGAGGCATTGTATATAGCTTTTTAAATAGTATACCATAGTTTGAAGACTATATGAGAGCATTCATAGTAGAATTGCATGTTTTGAATATTTCTTCATATATTCTTCTGAATAAACAGAATTTTCAGATGATATATCCAAAAGGCAAGACTGGTGAACTGATATTAGGGTTACCTTTTACCGTAGAGCACTACAATCAAAAAGGTCTAAGACTACTACCATATTCATTTAAATTTCTTTTATTTATATTGCATTATTTCAATTTCAAGAATTACACACTAGTCAACAGTAGTTTATATTTACATGCAGAAATTGGCTGCAATATATTTATATATATTTATATATTTTTTATATTTTAATTCCAGAAAATATTTCTTATGACACTACTCATTTACAGTCAACAATTTACCTATTCCGTTTATCCTTGCCCTTGTCTGTAATGGCAAGGAGGAAAGGAATACATTAATGTGATCCTGCCCATCTCACATTTTTGCATTTGTCTAATCATCAAAAAAAAGTTGCATTATGTGCATACAAGAAAGGCTACAAGGTATCCCTTGATAAGGCTAATGAAAACTACAGCATGAAAAAGTACCAAATACAGAAAATAACGCTGATAACTCATAAATTTGCAAAGACAGTTAACAGAGTATAACAATTTCTGTTTATATATATTACCACAGATAGAAACTGGGGTGTACAGTCTAGTTTTGGTTATGGACAAAGTCAGCCTAAGATTTAAAAAACAAAATCCACATGTCTTCAGTTGCATCTATACAGAAACTGATGAGCCTTATTTTAACTTGGTGAGTCTGGAATTCAGAACAATATTAAACACAAGTGGGTGATTAGAAATGATAATTGTGATTAATTACCCTGTACCTCACTGGGCTAATGCACATCTTCTTGTTATTGATCATAAAATAGAATTTCTAGTACAATCTTTTTACATTAGGGAGCAGGAGCTTTTGTTTTTGATAAATCAGCTGCCAAAATGTACATTTGTAGTTTTAGTCCATAATTCTCATTTGTAAATGCAGATGTAACCCAAAATGGGGGTTACAGATTGATCGGAATGATAAATGCATTAAAAAACAGATCTAACAATTCCCTTAAGATATCATTATAAAGTCTAATGATCCAGCATGCATTTATTCACATACAAAGATTCCTTTCTGGACAGTGGCAACGAGAAACATGTGGATTCATACTTTAAAATGTATATACAGTATTTACTGATGATATGTTTCCTAGTGGGACTCCACGTATTGAAAACATAAAATCATTTGTCTCTTAGGACATGGCTTTTTGTGAATATTCACGTGCAAATGCCACATGAATCACAAAGTTTATATAATATTGTAGGAGCTGCTCTGGGCATAAGGCTTTAGCTGTAAACCTGTGCAAATGACTTTGTCACTGTGGTTTATTTCTCAGGTGATGACATCAGTCATTTCTCATCAGTCACAAAGGACATTGACTCTTCTCTAGTAGAATACATACATACAAAAATATTAGCAAGAAATTTCATTGTGTGGTATAAACAAAAATATCCAATGTGAAAAATTTAAGCCAATACAGTTTGATAAAGTCCAATATTTTTGTAAGATGTAACCTTTGTATATATATTAAAAAAGTATAGTCAAAGGCCAAACTGCTCTGTACAAATCAGCGCTCAGTCTGACACAGCCTTCCTGGTGATGATGAAAATATACATAAATAATTTCATTCTACAAGTTCAAACTGTGAAATTCTAAAAGTAAATGGGCTAAAGTGAGAAATAAAATATGAATTTAGTTGTAGTTCGAAATCCTTGCTAAGTCACTCTTATTGTACTAAAATGAAAGAAAGCATAAAGCAATAATTTTACTCAGTGTGCAAGTGACACTTTTAAAAATATTTACATTATTGTTCAACACATTAGCTTAAACCATGAAATTGCTTTGCATTCGCCTTACAGTAAAGTACAAATTAGGGAGTTAAAAATGTCTTTAAGAAATCTGCTAATATTTACAAGAATATATTGTTCCAATTTAATGGTTCCTCACAGGTTATCTCATATATACATCTCGCAACATATTTTGGAACATAGTAACTAAACCCATGATGCCCACCCCCCTGAAAAAATTATAACACCAATATTAAGATTTTTATTTCTTTTTTTCTAATAAGCTAAGAAATTAAATCATATTAAAGCACCGACAGGCTTAGATGACTTGGTAACATCTCTAATAGTTGTCATTATTAAATAATAAAAAGCACACTGAATTATCCATATGGAAAGGTAATGGCAAGAAATATTTATTATTTTGAGATATACACTATGTCCTTCAAACCCATGTTAAGAAATTAATATTTGATCCCTTAGTTTGTCTGATTTATTAAGTGCATAAATATTGTTCCTACATGCTTAAAAATCTATTTTATTTATCATATAGAAAACAGTATTATGATGTACATAAATGTTAAACATTATCATGGTTATCCTCCTTTTATTACTCATTTTCAAGTACTGATAAAATCACAGTAAGAATTTCCAGTACCGACATTTCTTTTTGCAATGTTGTCTAAAAATCTAAAACTGTTTTATTTTCTATTAAAACATTATCTAGCATAGACACTATATGTGACATTTGAAATATTTATTTATTTTCCAGGAAATGTAACATGAATTGCAAAACTTTTCAATTACCTGAACTGACTTGCTCTGGTAGTATTAAGCATTAATACATGCTCTGACACATATCACATGGCAGTGAGAAACTGGGCCACTTAGTTTAGGCTTAGTTTTGGATCCTGAGCTTCACAGTCTAAAATTATCCATTTTTAATTGGATAAGTACAAGTTATTTTTTGCTGGGAAATTCAGTTCTGGGTGGAAAAATGGATTTTGGATGAAAAAGAAAGATTTTTAAATATTTAGGAAAACTTGGAAACAAATAGCACTCTTTGCAAGAGCAAATGTGATCAGAGGAATTGTGTTAAATGAGCCATACAAGCTACTGATATTTCTATTGATGTAATCAGCATCCAGGGACAATGAGCTTAAACACTCTAATTTTATTTGCAACAGATGCACAAACTAGTGTCTTTTGCTTGAATGTAACTACTGTGTGAAATATTAGTGGAAACAAATGACAATTCTTTTCCTTAATGACATTCTAGTCTGAGCTGCTACCAATCATCTAAGAATCATCAAACATAACTTAATAGCAGAAATTACAAAGCCAAAAATTCACTACATTTTGTGCATTTAATTTCCCTGTTGTTTTTTTTTTCAAAAGTAAGAAAGATACATTTCATTTTATTACAGTCTGCTCCCATCATTAACAATAACCATTCCAAGCATGCTGTGGCAGGAAGGTATATTGTTAAAACAATACAGCCACTATGGCTTTTTTTTATTTCTTTTATTTTTTTTGTGTGTGTGTGCAAACGTTTGGTTAATGACACGCATCCTTCAAAATACTGCCTAGAACTATTTACTTCATTTCCCTATGGAAATATCTAAAATATAATATTGCTTTGTATGAGTAATTCAGTGATTATATATATATATGAAACCTCCTAATTTACATAAGCCCATACCTGTTTGTATTAGAATTGATAATTATTCTTAAGGGAAAGTGTATAGCTGGGGTGTTTCTGTGATCAGTTTGAATTAAAAAAGTGCAAAATATGGTCTAAGGTTTGAGCAACAGTTTCACTACTTTTTGAATTTATATTCATTTATATTCTGATACCTTTCCCCTTTAAATGATAATGATCTTCATAACATAACCAAACGAAACAAAAAAGAATTGGATATGAAATTTATATTAACTTAATTTTGTAGTAATAACAATTAGTAGTGTTGTGCTTTTAAATATCCAGGTCTCATGGATGGTCCTAACCAGTTTGCTGTTGAAGACTTTTTAAGATACCAGTGTTTATGTCCTAGTAGGCATTTAATAACAAAAACAAAGACTGCAGGCTTCAATATGTACTGAATAAATGCATCCTATAATGTACAAAATATTAACTGAAGAAATTAGACTGAAAAAACAAGGGAAAAAAGTCCTTCAACAGCAAAAGTACAGTATAATTACATTTCACAGTTGGATTAACAAAACATGATTCAGTCGTATCCATGGTAAGCAATATTTTTACACCCAGTTTTAAAGGACATGCGTCTGGACTGAATCATTTTAAGGACATAAACCATTCATGACCCCTCCATTTCCCTGAAATACTAAATAGAAACAGAACATTCCTTATGTAAACACAGAAAAATGCTGCATGAATTCTCACTTAAATTGAAATGCATACCATAACTGTTAACAATCATATACAATATATATTTACAGGTAACTGTGAAAGGTAAAGATGAGACTGTGCCTTGCTATGTTCTCATAATTTATAGTGAAATGTCTCCTACAGATGCCTTAACTGCTGGCTTGGCATCATACACAATTAAAATACAAGAAAGACTCCTGGTAATTCACACTGTTAGAACAGTGCTTTAAATTGCTTTATGTTTCACACATGACATTGTACAACCACATACATTATTTAATAAAAAAGAAAATTACGCAGCATGTTGTAATGCACTGATGAAGCTTCAAACGTAATTGTTTGGCGAAAATATTAATAACTTATGCACATTTTGTACAAAGAATTTTCCATAATACCTAGTGGTAACTCTAAATGATTTCTGCAGAAGTCACAGCACAGTTTGTAAACTGACATTTCCACTGAGTTAAGATTATTAACTCATGTTCATGCTGTGGACATTCTTGTAGATTTGGCAAATCAAATGTCAGGATTATATATCCATATATCCGATCTAAAGTGTTTGAAATGATATGTAACTCTAAATGAATAAGACACTGAATGTTTGTAAAAATACTAAATACTGACATAGAAAAATAATGAACTTTAGTTCATTAAACCTTTATGTACCTACCATTTAATAAGGAAACAACCCATTGTCAATTATCATTTTAATGCCACTTCTATTTTGGAAACAGCAATGTTTAGCAATTTGTCTTTACTTTAATGAAATAGAAATGTTTTAGTAGACTATTTTTGTCATTATTGTTGATTGGCATGCCACTAATGCCAATTTACTTAGATTTCTAGATGCTGTAGTTTGGCTAGTTTCAAAGTAAATTCTATGCAGGTTAACAAAATCAAAGAATAAAACATAATACATATATGTTTGAACCACGATATAATTTTAAGTTTCACAATCTTAATTCTGGAGCAGGCACCACTTCGTTGTCTTACACTTTTAGGATTAGCCAGCAATTAAGGTGTTCCAAGGTAAAATGAAGTTTTGTCCTGATTTGTTTTGGATGTAATAATTCAAAGTCTTGCTTGCGTTGTAAAATTAGCCAACAAATGGAGTGCTGTTTCCCTTGTTCATGTCTTATTAATTCACGTAGTACAGCCAATAAACAATGTTGAAGAAGGAAAAAACAATTGGGAAAATCATCCTCGACCATCGGTCGATAGAGTTTACGTCAGTCAAATCAGGGATGGTAATTTTCAGCTGGGATGCACGTCTTCGTAGCCTGCTCTTCTTCTGGGCTACATGCCGCTCCAGGGCGTTTCTTCCAAAGCTGTGCCTGGGCAATCCTGCTTTGCGATACTGGAGGGTGGAGCTGTCATATGCAAGCATGGTGCTTCTTGGGTCACCTAGACCCAAGGTGAGCTCAGAGGCGGCCATCTCATTCTTGATTTCAAGAGTGCTCAACAAAATATTTTCATGAGGGTCCATCTAAGAGAAAGACAGATGTATCCATTATTTGAAATGGCAGCAGGAACTTGACACGATATACTGTACAAGGCTAGTAAGTTTAAAAATGTGTTTAGATTTTAGCTCGCTGTTTTGTTTTTCAAATAGCAGTCAAGAAAATACATAACTACTCAGGAACAGCATAATGTTTTCGTGTAAATGACGCCATTAAAAAAATTCTTTCAGTTTAGACGGATGAGGTGAAAAATCTAAATCAAGGGATACAAGTTTGCAAGTTCATATTCTAATTACTCAGAAAATATGATTTGTAATCAAAATTCAGTGAGGACACTGTATTGGATAGTATACAGTATGCTTGACTTTTAAAATTGTATTTTCTTTACATATGGTGCTTTTGATTTTAGAAGGATATTGCTTATATAAACTGCCTACTGTATATACAGTACTGTATAAATATTTCTTGCACCCTTAAGATTGAAAAACTTGAGATTGAAAAATTTCTATTTTTAATAATTAAAATTCCACCAACTTGATACATTTATAGCATCCTCCTAGAGGTTCCATGATGAACAAATGTAGGAACCTGTACAGTAACATCAGACATAAAACTAATAATTACTTAGCATCTTTATTTCCAGGAGATAAACACTAATTTGGGTACTCTGATAATTACCTTACCTAAACCATGAACTCAAAACAAAATTGAAATATTCAGTTTATAATGAATTAATAAACTTGTGATAAATGCCTAGTTTATCTCATAATTCTCTGTTATGAAATATATCTTAAGCAAAACACCAATATTAATAACAGAAGTCTTCATAACCTGTTTCTTCTGTGAGAAACTCTGCTCAAAGAATTGGAAATATGTAAATGCTTTTAACTTGTGAACTTTTCTCTCTTTTTTTGTTATTTTATGTTATTCCTGCTACACAATTTCAGCTGACCATTGCTTATTGAAAGTTTACACAGCGTATGCCTTCTCAGCTGAGACCTTCGTGGCTATTTGATAAAGTACAAAATATTTGTTTTTTAATGGATATGAAAGGCTATACAGGTTTATACAATAAACAGAACTGACAAAATACTACAAAAAGAAACTTAACATGGTCAGACACAGCTGTTAATCTGCAATGTTTTTTAAAGCTTGACATATGACATCAGTGGAGGAAAAAGACAATGATGGTTATGATAGGTCTCTAAAAAATACCTTCCATTTCTAATCAGGGGTTAATAAATGTTTATCATAATTGCTGTTTATTACTTTTATCTGTAATCCAGTACCTTATTCTTTTGCTCGCCTAGTCCTATTGCTGCATCCTCCACAAAGATCGGTTCCCACATCGAGTCATGAGCGTCAATTTCCCTCTGTTTCATTCTGGCATACAGAGCATCGTCTCTCTGAACTACATTTCCCACCAACCACTGCAAGCATACAAAGTTATCGAGTGACTTGTGTTAGTTGCTGGGAGATGTGACGCAAATGGAAAATTGAATTTAGCTGTTTTCAGAAGAGCCTTCTGCAATAAGAACCGTGTGTGTGTGTGTGTGTGTGTGTGTGTGGATATTTAGGTTTCTGTGCCACAAAACAAAACATCGAATTTTTTCCAACATTGTGTTATAAAAATGGTGTCTTGCTGGGTAAGTGCAAGTTTTCCTACTTTTTTGTGATAGTGGCACATCATTCAGGTTTTCTGAGTAAAGTATGTTTTGTGATTGTTCACTTCTGATACATTTTTCATATTCTGTAAGCTAAATATAAATATTTTTGTTAGCATCAAATTGAAGGAATCTATAGTATTACAGGGAAGAGAATTTAGTTTGAATTGGAGCCTTCTATGTTTCTATGTATTGGTATCGATTAATACTATAAAATATTATGTGCAAAAAATAAACAAAAAGTGGAAAGACAGGAAGCCATCCTGTAAATCATTTTTAGTCTGTGAAAACTCCAGAATATGGAAATGCAAATACATCCAGTTTAATTTCTATAAAATTACAATTCTAATTATTAATCCATATTTCCACTTGTAGACTTTTCTCATCGTATTAACCACATAGTTAATATGTCAATTATGGGCTAAAGAACCAATAAATCACAAACCATCTTCATGGCTGTGGTGTTAGACATAAACTAAGCTGATGAAAAAGACATTCATTCAGCAGTCTAGAAACAGCGCTGTGCCTATGTCAAATATTAAATCAGAAACTAATCTGGGTTATATCACAAACTTGAACAATATCTCAAGTAAGAGTTTGCAATAACTGCACACTAGTTCAATGCTTAATGGCATTTTTTTATTTATCTGAGATGCCTAATGTTGGATATAACATACTGTAGATTTTACAAGAGGTCTTATAGTCTTACCAGTCTGTGGTTAATACACAAAATAAAAGTACTGGGAAAGTTTGATGCATACCAATTGATAGCTGAAAACACCCTTCACAGAAAATATCTATGTTATATTTGAGCACTGCAGCAATTATGATGTATAACAATGCTATACAGTAGATGGACAATTTTGAATGTTAAATTTTAAAAAATATATATGACTATATTTACTGTATTTATTGAGTAACATGGGTCCAGAAGATAATTTTCTGTGAAAGTATTTCATTTGACTATGAAGTGGTGTCCATCTTTTAACTTTTCCATGTCTTTTATTTTATGGCACAAATAAGCCTTTTATTTGGATGCAGTCTGGATCTGAAGTAAGTGTAACTGATCGCCTACACTATGGCAATAAGTGAACACTAGGTTAGAAAACTAACCCAATTATTTTTAAAACCTAGCACAGTTAAAAACATGTTTCTCCATAGAGCCAGGCCAGTTGTTGTCTTATAGTAT